ATCCATGAGCACAATTGACCCTGCTCCTTTTAATTGGACGCTGAATGTTCTCAATCTGTTCCACATGATTAATCGAACGGCCAATACCCCCGTGCATGCAAATATTTTTTCTCAATCAGAGCAGCTAGAGGAAGCCAATTAAACAACCGGTTTATACGATGCCATGCCCAAATTCCATCTCTCTCACCCTGATCAACAAGTTGAACCAGATTCTTGATTAACATGATAGCAAGAAAAAGCTTTGGAAGCTTGTTCAGTAGAAATAATACATAACATTCCTTACCATCCTTTCAATGCACTCAATCCGGAAACCAAAAAAGGGCATTAATATCTGCTGCTTCATGGTTCCCACGTATTAAATGCACATTGTTTGGATACTCAACCTGCAATGTTCACACAAGTATGCATAAGTCTTGGGCTTCCAAACCCACCCGGGAAAAAAAAACACAGAAAAGCTCTGAAAGAAAACCCAAATAGGCAGAATACCTTCAGGGCAAGCAGAGGGTTATAGTTTCCAGGCTGTGTTGGCCTCGGTCAACATAATCTCCTAGGAATAGATAGTCAATATATCTGATAATCATTCATACACATTAGCAACATGGATAATTGAACACCTAAATCACGATTGCTATAATACTCGAACAAGAATATTAAGTAACACAAAATCATCAATCAAAGAGCACCATTAACAAGAGAAAATGCTTTGGCTAAAAGAAAATGTCAACAAAAAAAGGAACCTTAAAGACCATTAAATATTAAAATTTCTAGAGGATCAAAGAGATACAAAATCCCGCAGGGGCTTGCTGCATGGCCTTGGCTAGCAACATCCTTCAGGGCGGAAACCACAAATAAGACATTTTTCTATATTAACTATAGGCCCTTCATGGATGATTAGTATGAAAAGACAACAACCATTGCCAAGGTAGATTGTCTTCTGCTAGTTGTCAAAACAAAATGCCATATAAGTAATACTTGGAAGAGCATGAGATGATCATGATATGTAAATTTTTTATTGTAAATTTCAAAACATAAACTAATTAGTAAGAGCTCGAGAATGCATCAAGTTTGAAACCATCTGTGATACTAAAGAAACTTACGCTATGTCACCAGCAGTTGATGGTGCACCATACTCATCAAAAAGCCGCATAAGATCCCCAAATTGACCATGTAAATCACCAAATATTTTAATGGGTGCCCTAAGTTGTAAAACACTCGGTTCACTTGAAAATATCCGCGCTGCATTATCACAAAGATCTGCAATTTCATTGCAGTCTAAGAAAAATTGCCGGCGAACTGGTGGTTTCCAGCCTCGAGGCTTTAAGAGGTGTGCTATGACCTGACAAGTCGAGAAAACCTCCATGAGATACAAAAACAAGCAAAGATAAAGCAAAGAGGCAGAGGTGATAGCAGGAATGAGGCTCTGAATATAAGCTAGTGTCGCTACACAACCAGTTCAAGTGCAAATGAAGGTCAGACTTAGACCCAAGCCCAACATAATTAGACCCATAAATCAAGGGGGTAGTTTCCCAGGCCCATGGATAAAGCCCATATATCCACATGCTAACCTGGTCTGCATACAGCTCTAGTCGTGAAAATACCAGTCCAATAGTTTTCAAAAGCATTGTGTAATATAACAGGTAGAATCCAGTCCTCAATGACAAGAAAATAGAATAATAATGTACATAAGTTCATACCTTTTTGGGGACACTATTAATAGACATCTGCCTATCTAATAGTTTTCTGGCTGCAGTTGCATTTTCTGGAGTTCCATAACTGACCCTCCTGCCTTCATTTTCAAACTGGTCAATGGAAAGCTGTCTAACCATCCCACCTAACGCCCCCCCAGTCTCAGCAGCAACAACCACCTGAAGAAAAATCTAGCTAATATCAGAATTTGTGCTAAAATATTCAACAAAAAACTCACATGCATGTTGGGAAAATAAAATGTGTGACTCACAGCTCTATGATGCAGTCTAACTCCACCAGGAATAATACTATTTGATACTGCAGAATCAGGCTTAATCAAAGAAGATATAGGCTTCCCACTTGGAGTAGCCTCAGCCCCACCATCTCTGTCAGGCAAATCAACTTCACCATTCACTTGCCGTGCCTTAGCAGCAGCCAATGTGGCACTGATAGCTTCAGCTTCAGCAGCTGATGCTTCAACTAGATATTCAACACCTTTGCTAGTTCGCCTGTTAAAAGTTCTTCCAATACATGACAAATCCAAACAAACAAAAATCAATTGCTAAAATACAATCTCAATGACAAGTATCTTACCTTGATCCCTGTAACATGGCATTTTCAGTGCTAATATCAGTATACATGTCACCATTTATAGGGGGAGCAACGGGATTGCCCAGAACAACTGCCCCATCAGCAGCCGCTTCAGGCATTGTTTGCCTTGATCTATCATCAAACCCATATCGTCCAGGCATGCACCCTGGTTGTAAATTAGTTGCAGCAGCTGCGGCTGCATGTGAAGCAGCAGTTGTGGTTTCAGCAGCAGCAAGATCTTCAGCAACAAGGAGGTCATCCAGCAAAACTCCTGCAGGATAAACAACTCATTGTCATCAGCCCAGCTCATGCATAGTAAGAATACTTATAACAAATTTAATTTCAAGGGAAGTACTATATTCCAGAAAACTAACTAAAAGCATTCATTTTCAAAATCCTGCCTATGACCAAAGATCTCAGCATGAAAGATGGACAAGTATTTACTAATAATAAAGGCAATAAGGTGAATTTAAAGAATAAAGACAAAAGAGATCCTCTCAGATAAACACAAGGGGAAAAATGAAAACAAGCTAATAGCATTGTCGAATCTGCTTGAGCATGCTTACATAGCCAGAATAGCTTGTGCTACTTGATTAGGATTGCCACAACATTGTACACCCTTCATCTTTCTTATTACACTCTTACATGTGAGGTATTCTCCAACATTCCAATGCTGGCTACTTTTTTTTTCCCAAAAAAGAAAAAAAAAGAAAGAAAAGATATTTGCTCATGTTCTTTGACCTTGAACCTCGAAAGGCCTTTGGTCTGTCATTTTTGCTTTTAATAAGGTCCCCCCAATGTTGCAGCCGTTAGACTCTGGTACCATGTTAACTTTTTGTTTGGGCTTTCTTCTTGGTCATGTTCATTTCACCAAAATAGCTCAAGCTACTTAATTAGGATTGCACAAGCATATGTACTATCATTTTTCATGTTACTTTTCGATGTGGGACTCCTATTTTCCAACAAGCATCATATTTAGCATGTACAGGAAACCACCCAGTGACTAGTTTAGTGGAATTCCCTACTATAACTTATTAAATCGGTGTTAAACCTAACTGAGTAGCATTCCCAGATTTTTAACACAGATTGGCTGTGCCATAGTTAGTTTAATCAAACTTGATTTTTATTTGAAACAATTTGTCAAACCATAGTGTTCAACAGCATGAAAGCCATGGCTATTATGGTTAATGAATGATCCCTTGATAGTAGCCATCCACCTACTCTTGTAGCATCGATTAGAGACTTTCATGTTCCGACTGTAGACACTAGCATTCCGTGTCATCTGAACAAGAGTAACTATCCAACTAATGTAAGGCACACACTACATCTAAGATTTAAATGTCCCTTTTCTTTCAAGCTTACACAAAAATCGAAAACAAATTCAACCAAAATTAGCAGAAAAATCAAATATGAGATATAAACAAAGTTGCTAGAAAAGAGCTTTAAGCAATAAGTGTAATCAACACAAAGTAAACATCTAAATTGTCATTTCAATGCAGGAACTAAATCAATCAAACTATCTCATGACATTGACCAAATAATAATAATAATAATCCAGCAAGAGAATTCCACAAAATCTCATAGCTATGTCTTACCACCACGTAAACCACCATAAATAAAAATTAGGTCACCAACAGCAGCGGCTGCATGCCTACAACGCCGGGTCAACTCCACTGAAGCATCCCCACCAGCTGCATCCGCACTGTATCGTCCTGTCCTTGGACTGGTAACAACAGATTTTGTATCACACCAAACGCCAGCTGCAGTATCCAACACTACAAACAGGAGAAACATAAATGATTTTCCCTAAAAAATTAATATAAAAATCCATTGACACATCACTAGATCAAACATAGAAGCGAGAAGGGGAAAAATATAGAAGAAAATGCAAAGAAAAGAAGAGGTATTTGGTTAGAAAGAAATCACTAAAGACTACAACATCAACTAAACATCAAAATACCGCGCTCACAGCAAAAGACAATATTTATGAAAGTACCCAAAATATTTGTTATCGCTAATAGTTTTTCTCTTCTTTTATCTCATTTAATAAGAAATTTCCTGTCAGAATGTTCAACAGAGAATAAATATAAACAAGAGAGTGGAGGCAGAAGATTGAGAGCAAGGGCATTACTAATAGATACTAGATTATAACATTAGCAACCAGAGCCTGCAATCCACAAGCATCTTCCAACAACCAGAAATTTTGAAAAAGTAACACCATGGATCCACGATCAATTACCTGCAACACTTGACGAATCTTCTACCATCCGCCCTCCACCAAGAGCCCCTCCAGATACATGTAGCCTTGCATTAACAAATACCTAAAATCGTTGAAACAAGAGAATTATGATCCTTAAATATATAATCAGCTAAGTAAACAGAGAATAAAATGAAAGAAATGAACCCTACAGCTGCATGCTGATATCTCGGAGATGGTGAAACACCAGGGGCAATTGCCCATTCCCATCGGCCATCCCTATGCTTTGCAAGACCGTATGCACTTGCCAACGGCTGCAAGAGTTGAAGCGTCCCCCAAAAAAAAAAAAAAAAAATCACAGCAACCATAAATTTCTACTATTTAGTGCGAGACTGCTTGCTGATATGAAAATAGGTATGTTAAACAGAAAATAAAGGCAAAAAAATATTTGACAGGGACAAGTCACTCTGCACATGTAAAATTGAAAACGGCTATCAGAAGAACATTGAATTTTCGCATGAAGTCTTAGACTGCCTGAGTGATTTGGTCGAGTCTGGATTTCAACTCCAATCAGCAAAACAATATAACAGTTACTACTGAATTACTTATTTTGATCCTTTATTTAAAAAATATAAAATAAGCACTAAAATAAAAATTAATAGATCCTAACATGTATGGAAAATAAATGTTAGTTCCTGCAATTCAATGGGGTTTTTTATGGGCAAGCCAGAATATATTTGTCATTCTAGTAAAAGATACAACAAAGAAAATTAATTCTGCAAGAGACAGATAAATATAAGAACCCATTATACAGGCTAACCCATTCAATTGGGGTGGGGGGGTGGGGGGACAGTGACAAACTAATGAAAACATTTCCAGGTATACAAAAACATGGGAATGAGAAAAATGTCTGATTCAAAATGAGTAACTCACCACACTATTGGCATCCCTCCCCCCACAAAGTAAAAGAAGCCCATCAGAGCGTGCACTTGCAGTTGCATACCTATTCAAAATAAAAGTCAACATGATAACTAATCGTTAGATGGTCTTATCATACATAACTAGAAAGTGTTAAATAGTATCCAGCTTAAACAACAAACAAATCCATAAAACCAAATAAATTGAGCATGTAATACCCACGTAAACTCAAAAAGGAGGTAGTCAGTCACTTTTTTAGAATACAGAACATGACTGAACAAAGTGTGTTAATCTAACCATGCAATTTCACTAGAATGGAAGATAATAATATGGAAAACGGAATCACCCAAATAAAATACTTCAAAATCAATTCAAGAAGTCAAAGGTTTCAAAATAAACATGGTTTCTTGTATTCATAATAAAATCACGTTCACAAAGGAGTCAAAATGTTAGGTTGAAAGGAGATAAGGAAAATACATGCATGGCGGTGGCCCCTCTCCTTCTGGCTCCAACTTGCGCCATTCATAAGGCTTGGCAGCTGTGTCCAAGGCCCATACATCAGCCAAAGGTCTCTTTCCTGGAAAGCAAGCACAAAAATAATATAACATCCATTAAACTTACACAAAAAACAAGAGACGAGAGAATAAACAGCTAAAACACACAACACAAAAAGAGCTGCATTTGACTGTTACCATCATTTCCTCCAATAGCCATTAGATATCTCTGCCCCACCAAAGCCATCACATGTCCATAACGAGGTCCTGGTCCAGGACCTTGAACAACAACCCTACAAAAGTTCAGCACCCCAAGATATCAGATAAATGCCAATAGAAGCACAATTAAAATAATACATAGATCAAAACCCAACCTATGCCATCGTGGCCGCTGCTGAGTGAGGTCAAGAACATGAAGGTCTTCTGCTGACAAGCCAGCAGGACCGATGCCACCCTGATTATTAATGGAAAATTCAATTAAGAAGTAAGATAGGAATTAAAAAGAAAACTAGATCGAAAGAAACTAAGATAACTTAAATAACGTCTTCTGCATGCTACCTGAATAACCACCATTGTTCCCACAGCAGTTGCCACATGAGCAGCCCTTGGAGTTGGAGGTTCTCCATAGGGAGTTATCCTGTGTAAGAACTCCTTTATAAGCACCGAAGACAGGTAATATAAACAAATACTCAAGTCATACAACAGGCCGGAAAGAAAATTATTCAAGTCCTACACTTTACCTGGACCATTTATTTGTTAAGACGTCATAACAATGGACATCAGCCGTGGCACCAGCTAGACCTGCAGAGTAAATTAACAATCACGAACATGATATGATTCAAGCGTAGGACTTCTCTATCAATCCAAATCATCAACCTATTATATAAGCATTGTCCTTCACAAAAGTCTCTCTTAAGTACAACAGCTATTAATTACTTAACCAGGAAAAAAGTTGATCATCATCTCATACCACCCTCTACAGGCAGATTAGCAGAGTATGCCAAATATCTATAAAATCAAGAATAACTACTGAAACATACTGGGGTTGCATGGATTCCAACACCAAAACGAATCAGAAACATTAAATAAAAACGACATCCAACAGGGCTAGCTGGGACTTGCAAAATATTACGTCAGCTTTTGAAAGATGACACAGAAAATAAAGCGGGAAACAGACTCACTGTCATCTTCAACAGGTTACACTAATTTGCAATGTCATTTGGAACAAATATTGCTCACAACATTAACTGATGGTATGACCATCCTAGAGTAAATTAATGGGGTTCATTGGCTTTCGTTCTACTGAAACCAGCGATGCAACATGATAAGGACTCATAAACTGTAATCAAAGAACCTAACGCAACATGGAAAACACAGTCCAAAAAATTATTAGGATGCTTTGGATTGCTGGGAGCTACACACGCACAAACAGGTAGATATATAGAAGGGAGCAAGTTTATCCCATTACAATAGAAGTCAGCATGTATTGGCAGCTTTGAAGTAACAGCACATTGAAGTTCAAACACGACTGCTTAATGTGAAGATAGGATTGCTTTTATACAAACAATCAATATAGTGCCACTTGAATTGTCATTGCAATCAGAATTAATGCCCCCTACTACTGGGGCAGTACCTTTCTGCAAAGAAATTTACTGTCAATAGTTCGTGTTAAAGAACATTAATTGGAAAGGCTTCATTGAATACTGACAAATATTAAAATCCAATTTTATCTACCAACAGTAAAAAATGAAAGATTTGTAACAGTCAGAATGTTTGAATTTATCTAGTAAATATCCAATTCACTTTAATTCTATTTCATAGTATTACCAAGCAAATATAATGATATTAATCTCTCACACAGTGGGATAAAGCTCGTCGTTGTAATCTCCCACCCCTCAGATAGGCTATCCAATCAAAGGAATTCTCAATAGTATATTTTCCATACCCATTTCTTTCCATTCAATACAACAAAGCCATCCTAATGAACTGTCACAGGGTTCTGCTAATCAGCAAAATTAAATCATACTTTTGAAGGAAACAAATGTTTGTTCAAAAGGACCAAAGACCACAGTATAGAATAGAACTAAAAGCCACAGAACTGTTGAATAACTGCTATTCCATTATCTAAGCAATGAAATTGGCGTCTTCACATTCGAACAGCTGGGCCCAACCCTAGACACTCACATCGTTTCCCAAACCTTCTCCCATTTCAAATAAATAGACATAACAATAGAAGCATCTCATTGAGATCACACGATATTAGCTAAATTTACTTCAGCTCTAAAGGATGCAAGCGACAAAATTTATTAGATTACATTCAAAGTGAAAATCCCCAAATCTAAATGAGAGGCCACCAAGTATATGCAGCTTCTATTTCACAATATATCCAGGAACCAGAAATGATATGTGTTACGAAGAATGAAAAATGGTTTATAGAAGAAAAACATACGTATTCCAGCATTTCCTGCCGAAGAAGGAGTCCCGGAAGCTGCCGAATTCCCTTCAAGTGCAGTGGCACCACCGAACAAAATAAGCCTTGGGCCAATGTACCCAGGTGTACCTTCCTCTCCAACAGCTGCGACGGCCGTCAAGGTGTGGCCACACCTAGGCCCTGGTCCGTCCTCCTTCTTTTCAATTATTGCATTCACCACGGAGTAAGTTGGCGCGAGCCTAGGTCCAATAACAGAACTCTGCTGCCCCTGAGAAGACACCTGCTGCTGCTGCTGCTGCACCGGTGACTGGGTAGTCGATGGAGATCCGCCGGCTGACGCCGGCTGCTCTTCAAGCTGCTCCCTTTCCATTGCCGCAGAAGGCTGAGCTGTGTTGTTATTCTGCAAAACTGGATCCTGATCGGTTTCCGACACCATCGAGGAATCGACATCCATTGCTTAAACTCGAAGATTCGCGCAATTCCGCAAGATCAAAACTATAATTCCCGCAATATCGCATTACGAATCAACATTTTTATTCACGTCGGATTCCAAACCCTTCAAACCGTCCCCTGCCTTCAATTATATCCACAGTATATATGAAAACCCTAGGTCAGATCCTCGACACCTTCATCAAATAAAACTATATGTTAATCATGAGGAGCAGCAATGGTCAGGCGAAAAATTTTCTAGGTTTCCCTCCTTCTATCTTTCTCACACAGAACAGAACCTCACAGAATAGAAGAAGAGGTCGAAGAGAGAAAACAGAAAGGATACAACCAAATTCACACTCACAAACCCAGAGCAGGGGAAAAAAAATATCAATATCAATAATAATAATAATAAAATAAAATCCAATCACTTTCTCTGTCTAGAAATTGCTGGCGGTCTCATTCCCTTTTTCTCGCATTGTTTCTTCTCTCTCTCTCTCTCTCTTTGAGAAAATTAATAATTTTTGGGGACATGCATATTCTCTTTCTAAAATAGACTGACCGAGATCAACCGGTTACAGAATGCACAGAAGAAGTGGAGGGGCGGCGCCAGATGGTGTAGGATGAGTTACTGCGGCGGAAAAAGGAGATCCAGTGACCGGAACAACCGGGAAATTGCTTTCAGTATTTAACGGTGTCCACCGGTTCCTGATCATACGGAGGTTCGCCTCTTAGCCACCTTCCCGCGAAGGGATCGCTAAGCAACGAGTTACTGGGAGCAACAACGACAGTGGGGCCACGCGCTGTGTTAAATTAATAAATGGCTTTTTTCAAGCATGATATTTGACAGATTATGTCATTGTAATCGTAATGTAATGGAACGATAACAAAGCAGAATTAACGGAAAAAACAGTTTTTTTTAATATTTCATCTAATATAAGTAATTTAGGCATCTACTACTACTAGTATTATATTAACTCACAATTTCACAATTAAAAATTTAAAACAATGCTTAATATAATTGGACCAGAAGGCCTCAGCAACCAAAATAATAATAATAATTTCATTGGAAACTGAGCATTTTGGTGTGTTTGTAAGGAGTGAGAATTAAATGAGATTTTAGTTGTTACATCTTAACACTAGATAATTAATTAACAGAACTTCTGGTTTTGAATATGATTGTTTCCTGCAATTTGTGAAATTTTATTATATACTCTTCTGGTCCTAAATATAAAACTATTTTTATACTGTAATATACAGTATAAAAATAGTTTTATATTTAGGACCAGCAGAAGTACTTATTAATCTGAGTATTCATTATTATTATTTGTTAACTAATAACTGGTGAATCTGATCAAAATCTTTTTTGAAAAAAAGGGTATTTGGAACAAAAGGTTTACCAGCCTATGTCATGTGGGTGGCTTAGAAAATAAGTATTGGGAGAATTACACCAAAAGACTCAATTCACGGGTTAATTATTAAAAGAATTCTCAAATTTATTACTCACGTAGCGTAATTTATTAACTAAATTGCGAATATTTACCATTTACATAATGTTAATTTACAACTAAAAATGTATCTAACATCATTCATTACTCTAACAACGTCAATTTATAAATGAAAACAATGAATATTTGCTATTAATGATCCTTGTGAATAAAAGATTTATAAGTTTGATCTTGGGAAAATGACACATAAAGAAGTTTGAAAAAGTGAGATGTCAATTTAGGAAGCCAAAGAAATGTAATAATAGAGAAGGAAGTTTTTCCCAGATTAAAATTTTGAAATTCGGTGAAATAAAAAAAATACCTTTTGTTTTTTTTACAAAAAAAAAACCTCAGCTCCTCATCGGCAACCACCGCTGGCAACTGGCCGCTGCCGGCCACTAGTGTGGTGGCTGCTGGTGAATTTTGTTATCACAATATATTTTTCTTTTAACATGGGAGAATATGGTTTAAAGTGGCGGGGGCGAGATTTGATCCCACAACTCCTTAGTTGTAGGGGCAAAAAAAAAAGAAAAAGAAAATGACCATTGGCCCATCAAAGATTTTTTTAATCTTATAATGCAAATAAAAATATAAGTTGACTCTTTTACTATGACTTCAGCCCATGATAACAATTTACCTGAGAACGACAAGTCTTAATTGAGAAATAACATGTCTAAATTTGATATTAACAAAACAACTTTCCTGATACATAACAAAAAGTAGCATGTGCATTAATAAAAAATAACCATAATTTATTTGAAAATGATACGTTTTTACTAGAAAATGACAAGTCTAAACTTAAGATTAACAATATATCTTTTCTTGATGCATAACAAGAAATAACATGTACATTAATTAAAAATAACTATAATTTATTTGAAAATGACACGTCTTTATGAGGAAATGACACGTCTTTAGTGAAAAATGTCAACAATTTATGTGGAATGTACATATTATTTCTTATTATGTATTAGGAAAAGTTGTCTTGTTAATATCAAGTTTAGACTTATCATTTTCCAATAAAAACGTGTCATTTTCAAATAAATTATGACCATTTTTAATTAATGTAGATGTTATTTCTTGTTATGTATCAGGAAAAGACACATTGTTAATCTCAAGTTTAGACTTGTCATTTTCAAATAAATCATGGTCATTTTTAATTAATGTACTTGCTATTTCTTGTTATGTATTAGGAAAAGTTGCTTTGTTAATATCAACTTTAGACTTGTTATTTTTTAATTAAGATTTGTTATCCTCAGGTAAATTGTTGTCACAGGATGAAGTCATAGTAAAAAACTCAACTTTTTTTTATTTTTTTGCCAAAGCATAGGTATTCTTCTATTGGAGGCAATTTTTTTTTTTGGCTAAAGCATAGGTATCTTCCTATCGGAGGCAATCCTATTTGAAGCACTAGGGGTGAGCAAAACCGAACCGCAACCGAAAACCGAACTGAACCGAATTTAATTTCGGTTTTTCGGTTCGGTTATTTCGGTTTTCGGTTATATATTCGGTTTTTTTTTTAAATAATTCGGTTTCGGTGTTCGGTTCGGTTAGTAGAAAAAAAATTAGGTTATAACCGAATAACCGAAATAAATATATTATATATTTATATTTAATAAATATTATTATAATAAATATATATGTGGGTATATGTAAACTTTTTAAATATATTTATATTCAATAAATATTATTATAATAAATCACATTGAATGATGAAATATTAATTAATTAATGGTTATAATCGTGTTTTATTATTATTTTTAATTTAAAATTATTTTTCATGTTTATATATTTCGGTTAATCGGTTAACCGAACTGAAATTTTCGGTTAATTCAGTTTTGGTTAGTTCGGTTATCCGGTTTCGGTTCGGTGTTTAAAATTTACTCTATTCGGTTAATTCGGTTATCACCGATAACCGAACCGAAAAACCGAATGCTCACCCCTACGAGGCACTGTCGAGCACTAAATGTAGGCACCTCTCTCAGCAGGGATTTGAACATTGGCTCACCACGTTGTAGGAGACTAGCTCCTTTTACTAGACCCAATCCCTGTTAGTGTCAACTTATATTTTTGTTTGCATCATAAGATTAAAAAATATTTGATGGCCCCAATGGTCATCTTCCTTTTTGTTGGCGCAAATGGCCAAGGAGTTGTGGGATGAAATCCCACCCCGTCGCTTTGAACCATATTCTCCCATGTTAAAAAAAAAACATTGTGACAAAAATGCTTCACCAGCAGCCACCACACTGATGGCCGGCATCGGTGGGGGGCGCTGGCCATCGGTGAGGGACTGGGGTTTTTTTTAAAAAAAAAAGATAAAGGTATTTTTGTCATTTTACTGGATTTTAAAATTTCAATTTAAGAAGGACTTTCTTCTCTGTCATTACATTTTCTTAACTTCTCAAATTGACATTTTACATTTTCAAGCTTCTTTGTATGTCATTTTCCTTTGATCTTTGGGCATAAACGTCCTTTCCAAAGTGCTTATCATCTTTTTATAGGCTGGAGGATTGATGAAGAAGATAGAATAACTTTATACACTTGCATGGAATTTGAAATAAATTATGCTGGTGGAAATTAGAAAAATGAGATAAAAGTGCACGGCACCTTCTACATCTGTATTATTTCATATTAATATTGATTACGTTAAATTTTAGAGACAAAATAATTTATCTATATATTATTAAATTTAATAATATTCTCACTATTTAAAATTTTTTTGGACTAAAATATGTAATTTTATTTGCGTATGTTTAAAATGCATCAACTACATTGTGAAATATGATAAAATTATATTCATTTGTGAAAAAATTTTACGACACTATGGATAATTAAACATTTTTCCCTCCAACCATGAGGCGATTAATATAGAAGGTTTATTTTCAAACAATTAAGTTACGTAAGCTGTTGCGTAGATCCTGCTTCGCAAGTATATTTTGGAAGGAAATATCGAAGACGAACACCCAAAAAAAAAAACTATTAATGCTTAAAATTAAACTGAACCAAGTCAAATCGATTAAAATTGAAGTAATAAACAAAACAAAATATTTTTTTACATGTCATAATTGATCTTGTCCAGTTGATTTCATAATTTGGTTTGGTTAAGGTTACTCAAATCAAATCAGTGGGATTAAATAAGTTCTCTACCTAACTTCAAATATATGACGCCTGAGTGATGCATTATCAACGGCCAGGCTGCGACAAGGTCTAATAATTAAATAATATAACGAGTTTTTTGACGAGAAAATAATACTACTTCTATAATTAGGTGTTATCTTTCTTAAAATATCCATACTAATTAAGTGTATTGACTAGAACTACCATTATTAGAAGAACTACCCTAGAAAAAAATACATAAATATGAGAGATAAAATAGATTGAGGTTTTATATTTATGACTAAAATAAAAATCAAACAACATCTTATACGAAAAACAGTAGGTAGTATAATAAGTTAAGCATGATAAATTAAGATTATTGGTTATCGAAGAAATCATGTCCAATCTCCCCCCCCCCCCCCCCCCCCCCAAAAAAAACATCAACAATGATTGAACGCGGACATTCATCCATGCCTTACCTCATTCTTACCTCATGATCCCCCCCCCCCAAATTTTTTTTTAATCGAACTAGATAGTGGATCTATGGCAAAGAATTTAAAATGATTTTAATGTTATTGGTGACTTGTTGAAACTGATGTTGATCTAAATATGTTTTTTTAACTAAAAAAACCCCATATTTAAATTTAACGAATAGTATAGTTGAAGAGAAAGGAGCTGGTACTTGAAGGTGAACTCATACCTAAAACTAAATTCAAGCAAGTGATCTGCTAATGAATCAATCATTAAGGAGAACATCAAAACATTGTGCATAATCTCCGTAAAAGACAGCGAAATTTTCTAAGCTCCCGTGATAAAACAATAAAAAAAAAATCATCGAAGCAATCTAAACTCAAAGTAGTAAAATATGTAGATATATACATAATGAATAAAATATAAACAACTTCATCCCACCTGAAATAACTGTAACTACTGCTGATGAGAATGCTTTAAAAGAGGATGTTGCGAGATTTGATCTGGATTCTGGAGACCGGGAAGAAGGAAAGGAACATTGTACTACCTCAAGGGGATGCTCATCCCATAAAACCCAAGCGAAATTGAGGTGGAATTCTCTTCTTGACAAATGCCACCACAACCACCAATCGACTGCCACGTCAACTGCTGTCGCTTTCTCTAATCCGCCTCTTCTCTTCACCCTTTATTCCTTTTAATTACTCCTCCGGTCCTAATTATAAGACCCAATTAACTTATTTGAGGAGATTAAGGAAGTAAGTTAAGTTGGTTATTTATAATAAATAAGTGTTGTTATTCCTAAAATATCCTTGCTAATTAAGTATATTGGCTAAACTATCATTATTAGAAGGATTATCTTGGAAAAAAATGTATAAATATAAGAGAGAAAATGAATTGGGTCTTATAATTAGGACCAAATAAAAAGTCAAATTGGGTCTTATAATAAGGATCGGAGGAGTATTTGGTATTAATTCTGTTTGAGTTATTTTTAACGTAATCTATGGTAAGTAAGAAAAAACTTAAATCTTATTAATTTTATTTTAAAATTTAGTTTTTTTTTTACTTTATTCCTATTTAACGTGTATGTTTTCTAAGAAAATATTAATTTATATGATAATAAATGAAAAGTGAATGTGCTACAAGTTTAATAATATGAGTTATAAATAGAATCAAAATAAATCTTATCCCTGCGCATTATAGAGTTACAACACCACATTTCAAAAGTAGTCATCATTTACACAATTCAAAATAAAACTCTCTTCATAATTTGATAATCTCGTAATTTATAATTGAAAAATTGTTTTAAAAAACCCTTACGGATCCCAAACAGCCAATAAAAAGCTATCAAGAGCATGTAAAACCTTGCTTGGGGACGTGTCAAGACACCAAGTGCTGACAATACACGAAGTGCCGCATCAGAATCTCTAGCTTTTTCGCCGGCGATCACTCTCAACGAAATCCCAAAAATCCTAACAACTCTCATCTGAACGCCCCGTTGCAGTGAGACCCAAGAAGAATAGAAGCGCTTGGGCTTGGATTGGATTCCATGGCCGCCAACAAGCTGGGACGCATTATTTTTTTTCTTAATTTTCTATCAAACCCAACCTCTAAAACAATATTCTTTAATTTTCCTCTTTTAAAACAAATTATAATTTGATATCTTGTTACTAATTATCATATCTCACATGTTTAAAAATGTTTTTATATAACGCTTATATCACTCAATTTTATATTTTCTTTGTCCTGAAATATATGTTTGAATTACTACATTCAGTTTTTAATATAAAAGTTAGTTTGACTTTTAATGTAGTCATAAATATCAAAACACAATTCACTTTATCTTTTATATTTATATATTTTTTTCAAAATCGTCCATATAGTAGTTGTACATGTTAAATATTTCATCAAATAGTAGTTCTAGCTAATATATATTATTATCAAGGATATTTTAGGGAAGATAATATCTATTTATTACAAATAACTAACTTAACAAACTTCTTTAATATGCTCAAATCAATCAACTAGCTTTTATATAGCACTTATTATCGTATACTCAAATGTTTGTCCATGGAATCAATTTCAAGCTTCATATACACTTGGTGACTGTAAAAATTGGTTAAGCAAAACAAGGTTTGGAACTTGAATTTACCTAAAGATAAGTTACTTCCGGTCTTTAATATAAGAGCTTATTGATTAATTTGAATATGCGAAAAAATTTAATTAAGTTAGTTATTTATAATAAGTAGGTGTTGTCTTCTATAAAATACTTTTGCTAATCATGTGTATTAGCTAGAACTATCATTACAAATATTACTTTAAAAAAGAAATAAATAAATATGAGAGACAAAACGAAATGAGATTTTATATTTAAAAATAAATTAAAAATTAAAAATTAAATTAAATTTTATATTAAAGACAAAAGCTAGTGGTTATGTTCTGTTTTACGGTAAAAGCTTTAAAGATCCACATTCCACAAAAACCTGCAGCACCCGTTTCTCCTTGTAAGCGTTGCGCGTCCCACGTAATTTAGAGAGTCTTGCGAGTAGTTTAGTGATATTCTTTTCTTCTTCTTTTTTTTGTTTTGTTTTTTGAATTAAGCGAGTGTTTGGATTAGTGAAAAAATGCTTTTTAAGAATACTTTTCCCTAAATCAAGACAAACCCCTCTTTAAAACCATAATTTTATTTCTACCTAAACATCCCCTGGGTTACTAGTAGCCGGTGCAACTTAGATGCTGCGCTTCTTTGTGGCCCAGCTTTTTTTGGTCCAAACAACCGACTAATCCAGCCAAGGTATGAGCAGTTTAATGATATTCCTCCCCCCGGGTTTTAAGGTTTTAGGACTCAGAACCTTTCTTCGATCTCTACCTTCAGCATTCTGGAGCCAGAGTCAAGTCCGAATGACCTGGAACCAAAAAATACTTCAAGGAAGATGATATGGAAGCGGAATTTATATTGTTGTAATTTTGACAGTTGGAATTTTCAAATGTAAGTAATCAAATACTACCTGTCCGATTTTAAATATAACATCACTACAAACTAGAACTAGATATTATATTAGGTAGTAATTGAATACAATCACCTAAATAAAACAGTTTCTCCAATTATTCAAATACATTACATCTTTCAAGCATTTTTCAATGTCATCTATCCATATACCCAAGAGAAACCTTATCCTCAACTTGACAGTTGACCATTTGTAATGCACCCAAACCATTACCTAAATTAAAAATTTAAAATAATAAAAAAGAGAGATATAACATGCTCCTATCAAGCTCATGCATTCCGACCCTAACAGTTATTTAAATTTCCATCTGACTTATTGCTCCAATACAACATATTCTTGCTTCAGTGGCTGTATATGCAATGACTCGTAAACAAACGCCATTAACTTCACCCCACGCCCCAACCTTGACTACCCATCACCGGGGAAAATAGATGAGCAGTTGGGCTACTGCCAGCGGATATGACCTTTATCAGACTTTCATTGCACCTGTGTTTACTGGTTTCTGAAAGAATCTGCCAACTGGCATCCCATCCTCATCATCATCATTTCCTACTCTCCATGAACGATCTTTTTTCCTCTGAGGCTTCTTATGATGTTTGTGAGAAGCATTAGACTTCTTGACAGTAGCTTTCTTTGGAGCAATGTCATTAGCCATGTCAAATGAACCGAGATCATCCAATACGTGCTCAAGATTAGGTGCAGCTTCGCTGTTGACATCCGAAGAATCTTCAATATGAGAAGAATCTGACTTGTTTAAGTTAACTGAGTCAAGTCCTCCGGGTTTGGCCACAGTTTGTTCCTCATTCAACATTCCAGGAGGCAATTCATAATGAGGCAACTTTCCATCAATGTAATCTTTCAGTATCTGACGGGCAGCTCTAGTTTCATCGGGTAGCCCACTAGAAGCAACATAGCCGCGAGAAGCACAATAAGTTCTCAGAATTTCAGACGCTAGAGGAGACCTGGATTGGGGTTCATATGGCTTAGGCTTTGGAAGGGTGATCTTATAAACTTCCTCGATGACATGTCTTGGGACTTTATCGGCCACAACCTGGACAGCCTCCCTGTGTTCACTAATCCTATCAATGGGAAGCACCCCACAAGCAATCATCTCATGCCTCGAGCTTGAAAAAGACGGAAAAACTAACCCAGGACAGTCACAAAGGGTTAGCCTATCAGAAATTATTAACGTTTGGAAGTGTTTTGTCTTCCCTGGAGTGGAGGTAACACCTGTCCGTTTTTGGCCTACCAAAGCATTGATAGTTGAACTTTTACCCACATTAGGATAACCAACAAATCCCACAACTACATTACTTGATGACACACTACCAGAAGCATTTTCACTACAAGATTGAATATCAGAAGGCCCTGTGTCAGAGGAGCTTGATTTTCTCCTCCTCTCCACAATCTCTTCTGCTTCTGACTGTAACTGAGCCAGGAGTTCGTCTCTGCCATATATTTTTGTATCTGGGTTACTGCACTTCTTCAAATTATCAGCATCCGATGATGAATGAAGCTTTTTGCCTTCCAGAGCTGCAGAAGCAGCTTTAGCTGACCAGAAGATGAAGAGAATATCGTGAGCCCGGAAGTACTCTGCCCATTTCTCTCTGCAGGGGGGAAAAAAAAAAAGAGGTATAAGAACCTTAGCAGGACAGAAAACTAAAGAGTGAGTTCACACATTAACTTCAAAGGGGAGATCAGAACCTAATAGGAGTGGACAAAAGATCTGCCTTGTTAACCAGCAGCAATGTCCGTTTATGCTCGTCAACCTCTCTCGCATATGCCTGAGCCAGAGCAGAATTAATGCCAAAATAAATTGAGTAGCTCTCATGGATTTCTTTTAAACATGATGATATGAGATTTGCCACGGGAATTTAAGGTTAGATATTTCCTTAAAAAAAGGCTAAATGGTAAGAGTTGAAGTAGTAAAAGATAACGCTTATAGTTTGAGTAACGTTGAAGGTTTTTTAAGTAGCACCTGTGACTTTCAAGTAGTGGCCAAAGAAGCCCACAAAAAATTAACAAGCAATAATTTGTGGCTTTTATAAACATGATTTGATGATGAGCTTTAAGGGGTGGTGCAGATATTAACTTCCATCAAGTAAAACCAGTTAAAGTATCATGCAACCCCAAACATCATTATACTCCATTAACTAACGTGTGTATCACTTTAAAACACATCAATTGTTATGGATCTGCCAGGGACGAGGAAGATCTCAATTCTCGAGATTTGTCAGCTTAGTTTGAGTACACAATCCAAACTTCATCAATCAAGAAAATAGTCTCCTTACCTCAAGATCAGGACAACGGTAAAAAAGCGGATCTCGCGAATCAACAACCATCACAAGCTGGCCAAAAACACAGACACATATATACATGAGATTTACATACTCAATAATAGTACAATAAATTGGCTTTCAAAAGAATTACATGGTCTTGAAAACATAGGTAGACAGAAGTCAACATCTGGGTAGATGGCAATAACCAATTAAAAATGATCTTATTAAGTCTATTAATATCAACTGTAAATGTCAAAAAGGAACAGACACTTAAGACTTCATAAAGAGGATCTTGCCTTTAACTTGCCAGTACATAACAACCATTCAATATGGAAGTCACATGGAGAAGGTACATTGGAAGCGAAAAGCAAATGCAATTATAGGATGCTAATATTTTCTACCTCTAACATCAAAACATGCATCCTCCCTATGGCAGGAGTAAGCACAGCTACAGAACCAGCAATAAAGTAAGATCATAATAGAATAATAGCTTATTCGCTTCAGAGAAATTAATAAGTAACCTATGACTATCCACAGACTCATAAATAACAAGAATAGTTTTCCTTTAGGGCTAAGAATGTTTTTTTTCTGGAGATCATTATTGACCATTTTTCAACTACTTCTCATCAGAACGAGCACTCCAATCTCAATTGAAAAAAGAAAAGAATTTTCAGCCTTATCCCAAATAAAGTCATTGAGATGCAGGGTATCGACTTACCAAATCACTACGCTCAACAACTCGCCAAAGCTGTCTCCAAATATCAAGATTCTTCTCAAAGGGTGTAAGGACAAGCTTCTCATTTTCCTCAAGTCTGAAACATAATGATTAAACACACGTAAATGAAACTATATAAAAAACTGTCCTAGTATTTTATTCTTCTGAGTTCTGATAAATCAGTCATCTGTAGCATGAATTCATTACGATTCAAATTAGCTAAGATGATTTATCAACCAGGTAACCACAAGAACTCAACCTTGCTAGACTGCGACGCCAGGTCAAGAAAGCTTGTCTTTCATTGGCATCAAGCTCCTCCACGGACATGTTCGCACTCCATGGCGGCCTAAAGGAGAACAAAGAGTCAGAACAAACAAAGGAGAGTTGCAGAAATAATTTGGTTAAAAGAAATACCGGCGTGGAACTCGAAGACTGCCAGCATGGAGAGCCTCCTCTCTCTTCTGAAGATCTCTCCTCTCTTCAGGAGTCATTTCACTAGTGCTAGAGCTTGCATCCCTTCTCCCATGCAATAAAATCGCTTAATATTCAATATTCAGTATAAGCACTACAATTTAATAGGAGATATGTCCCCCTTAGTAGTACATGCTCACTAAACAGAATAGACACTGTAGCTTTCAAATTCCGGAGCTAGGATCGAAAAATAATACGAGATGCCAAAGGCAGCGTGATTTTTCTTTTCTTTATTTTAACCAAAAGCCGAACAAGGCCTTCGCAGCACCGCTCAACCTCGAAAAGGTAAATTCATTGTCACCAAAAAAAAAAAAAAGGCAAATACATTACCTTTCAGGGAAATTTCGAGCTTAACCGTTAAAATACCCAGCTTAGATATCGAGATAAAATTGCAATCTAAGTAGGAAAGAAAAAGGAATAAGAGGAAATTACAAGCTCTTCTTGCCGCAAATTCGATGGAAAATAACTCACAGACTAATGGGGAGGTCAGGGGTGGGGTGGTTGGCGACGAAGAGACGCTCGGCCTCGTCTGCTTGTTCAATGATGGCATCAATGTCGGTGACCTCTGTGACCGATTCTAAAACCTTCTTTTGCTGATTCTTGTAGAACCGACCCTTTTCCTTACTCTGCTGGATCATCTGGTTGCGCTGCTTAACCAGAGCCCTCCCCAGGTCCGACTTCTGATTCTTTCCCATTGTAGTTAGAATCGGAAGGAAAGCCCCAAACAAGTGTCAGCACGAAACTATTGTCCAAAACCCTAAAATCCTCCCTGTCGTCTCGAAAGCTTTTCTTCTCCGTTCTACACTTCTATTCTCCGGACGAGGATCGAGGGGCACCGTTTTTCAATATCTATATTTTCACCCCAAAAAAAAAATCCATCTGTTTTTTCCCTGGTCAGGTGGGGTTTTTTGCCCAAGCGTCCCGGGGGCGCGGCTTTAAGAGACCATAAAAAGCGCAAAATGTCACCTTGAAAAAGAGGGAAAATTAAAGCACGAATGAGGGGTAGCGGGGGGAACATATAAATATATTTATATACACACACATTTTTTTTTTATATACACAAAAGGTTTAAACAGATCGCCCACCAACAAAGTCTTTACAAATTGCTTACTAATAAGGTCCTTAACATCAGTAATAGGATTTGAACTTACAATCTTATAAGTTATGAACTGACTTCTTACCAACTGGATCAACTCGTGTTAATAGGGGAGTGATATTTATTAGAGAAGATTGTAAACAAAACTAACTCTTGTACACTATAACGTGGACAACATTATACTAACTTTTATTCTTAATATAAATTTAATTAATTATTTTTAAAAAACTAAAAAATTAAATACATTATTTGATAGTATTTAAATTTATTATTTTTTTCAAATTAATTTACTTGACTTATAAATTGATAATACTACCTCCGGTCTTTAATATAAGATCTCGTTTAATTTTTATTTTGGTCCTAACTATAAAACCTTAATCCACTTTATCTCCAATATTTGTGTATTTTTTCCAAAGTAGTCTTTCTAACAATGCTAATTCTTGCCAATACACTTGATCAATAAGAATATTTTACAAAAGACAACATCTATTTATTATAAATAATTAACTTAGCTTCTTTGTTTAATCTTCAAATTAGTCAATTAGTCTTATAATTAGAACCAGTAGTACATAATCTAGTGATACACATAATATTTTAAAGAGATCATAATATATATTATAATTAAATAATTTATTGAGTTTTTTAATCTCTCCAAATTAATCAATTAAATTTTATATTTATATTAAGGACCAGTAATATGATTTATGAATATGGTGGATTAAACAAGTGAAGCCACAGAACTTGTGGTTTGATTTGTTTAACTTATGCAGCATGATTCATTTTATTGTACCAGATAACTCTTAAATAAAATCTCAAACCCCCCCCCTCTCTTGAATGGGTAAATTAAACTGGCTAATCTAAATTGATTTTGACACCTCTAGCTTGAAACGGCATTCGCACAGCGCCGTGAGAAACGAAAAGAGCTAGGTTGCCTCCAAAGAATGATAAAAAAGAGGGACATGGAAACAATTATTACTCCTAGTTCATGTATTAATGAACGAGGACAACATTAACATCAGATTTCTTATAATTATTATATCTCTCATTTAAAATTCATCAACTTTTCAACTTTATCCCTATTTAATATACATCATACCTCATCTAAACAAAATCAATATAATAATAATAAAGAGTAAAATTTACATCTATATAAAAAATTCTCTCAATGCCCTATAAATAGAACTAAGAAATGTTTTCCCTTTCTATAAATAGGACAAATGTTTTCTCTTTCTACCTTATAAATAGTACCAAAAGAGTACATAATTAAAGAACCTTGAGTTTTGTAATAGTATATATATGAATCATTGAACTAATGTAGATCTTTTTGCAACCTATTACCTCCTTGGATTCTTCGTATAAGAACTAATTTGATCTCAAATATAAAATTTTAATGCACTTTGTCTTTTATATTTATCCATTTTTTTCAAGATAATCGTTGTAGTAATTGCACATGTTAAAATTTTCATTAAATGACGGTTTTAGCTAATACATATAATTAGGAAGGGTATTTTGAAAAAGACAACACATATATATTACTCATCCGGTCCTAATTATAAGACCCAATTGACTTATTTGAGGAGATTAAGGAAGTAAGTTAAGTTGGTTATTTATAATAAATAAGTGTTGTCATTCCTAAAATATCCTTACTAATTAAGTATATTGGCTAAAACTATCATTATTAGAAGGATTATGTTGGAAAAAAATGCATAAATATAAGAGACAAAATGGATTTGGTCTTATAATTAGGACCAAATAAAAAGTCAAATTGGGTCTTATAATAAGGACCGGAGGAGTATAAATAATTAATTTAACTAATTTTCTTAATCTATTCAAATTAGCCACTTTTAATTTAATCCTAAATATAAAACCCTAATCTATTTTATCTCTCATATTACTTCCGATCCTTAATATAAAAACTAGTTGATTCATTTGAGTAGATTAAGAAAACCAGTTAAGTTGGTTATTTATAATAAATAAGTGTTGTCTTTCCTAAAATGCCCTTATGGATTAAGTATATTGATAAGAACTATCATTATCGCAAGAACTATTTTTTTAAAAAATAAATAAATATGAAAAACAAAGTAGATAAAAATCTTATATTTAAGACTACAATAAAAGTCAAATCAACTTTATATTAAAGACCAAAGATAGTAGTTATTCATTTTTTTCTAAAATAATCCTTATAGTTATTGTATATGTTAAAATTTTTATCAAATGTGAAAGCTAATACACTTTATTGGTAAGAGTATTTTAGAAAAAACAATACCTATTCATTACAAATAATTAATTTAATAAATTTTTTAAGCTACTTAAATTAACCACCTAATATCTAGTGTCTGTAATATGATTCTTCAAATCACGTCTTTCGTTTTGGGACCCCCGGGCCCCGGGGTTTTTTTCTCTCCCTCCCCCAGCACGTCTAAGGAATTAAGGTTTTGAATTTAAGAGCAGTTCCCAGAACTGCAAAGAGCTGCTGAGGCTTGAAGAAATGCAACGCCAAGAACAAGAGGCTCCGATGAACGAATACTCTCGAGGGAAAACAGTTTTTTCCCTTTGGCCAAACGAGAGATACACACGTAACCATTTAGAGTCAATACATTCCTTAGGCATAAAAAAACAAATAAAATCTGAAGGCATCGTTATAAATCGCAAAATAAGAACAAATATGTCAAGAATCAGCAATAATAAACACAAATAGCAGCACCGAGAAATTACAAGACCGTCTCAAACAAGCAAACTCCAGGGAAAAATTGAAAATTTCTGGCTAAAAGAATTTGTTGTACTGGCTGGTCAGGGAGCCCCTCAGATTTGAATACAATCCATAAAGTGAATATTGGCGCATGTTTTCGACTTCGTACCATGAATTAAGCACTGTGAGATGCTTGTCTGTGCCAGAAAACGCTAGCTGGATCCCAAGACTACAATCCACTGAACCTCCCCGATTCTTACAAGATGATGTTCTAATTGCGCAGTCTTGTTTATTGAGGCAAACAAAGTTAGATTTTCCTTTGCATGAAGCACATCCGTCTCTCTTCCAGTACAAATTCTGTAGCCTACCCTTCTTAAACTCGAGCACCTAATTTGACAAATCCAAGATGATCAAACAGGTTACGAAAAAGCCAAAATATCAAATTGTCATGTCCATGATTTAACATTCTTACCAGTGTAGAACTTGTCACAATGTATGTGCTGTTTGCAACAAACGCAGGTAGAGACCTTGCAGCATATTTCCGTCCAGCAAATGCCACCATATACCCACCATAAGAATCCTATGTATCATGAAACGAAAAAGAATCCAATTCAGTAATAATGAAGAAGTTCCTCGGATGCAAACTTTGTTTTTAGCTTCTCTAGTTTTTCTTTTCAGAAGAACATAAGATTCTCATCTACACAAGCAGTTTGCAGACATGCTAGTATTAGTATATCTTTTCAGAACAACGATTGTATATCAAAACATTCGTGCTGTCTGAGTGGCCCTGTCCTCAGAATCTCAAACCACCAAGTTGTTCTGAAGTACTGTGGCTTCTCAAAAGTCCAGTGGCTGAAACACTTAAGCGGATTTTTCTTGAAAACGAAGACATTGACAGTTTTGTTCATGTATAATATGCTCCCATCTATCTTGTTTATGACTCACTATGAATATTTTTCACTGGAATCAAGAAAAACCTTTAAACTCATTAATTTAAAAAGGTCTTTTACTTTCCCACATCAACATTAAATAAGGGTAAAAGGGAAAATTGGTAATAGATAATCAATGTGGTGCCTTATGTAAAGGACCACAAGACACCTCCTCCAAGTGTCTTATCAATAGAGCCAAAGGGAGTAATAGACAGACAAATCATATGTCAAACTAAGTCTACAAAGCCCCCCTAAGATTCAGTCGCCTGCAAGAATCCGTTTTATCATCATGTGGAAATAGATTTTTTTGCCACTCATCTTACTAATTTGAACATCAATTAGAGTCTTCTTATGTACACACAAATTAACCTAATGATACATTACGCATAGAAAAATTTCATTCGGTACAGTTGCTTTCCTACTAAGGAATAATGATTCTTATTTCTTAACTTTACTATGTTTCCTTCGGCAATTCAAAATAATATGTTCAGTACCGTGGATAATTTGTGCTTATAATCCAGGTTCTTCGTGAAGAAATATAAGTGAAAAGGAGACATAGTAATGCAACTAGGTTTGTCGAGATTGAATAATATTCTACAATAAAATAATAATATAATACATACTGACATTCACAATCAGGCATATGGTTTGACGTGACAGAAATAGCATTAGCAGTAGAAGCAGGAGAAAAATAGATAATTTTAACAATCAAGAGTGTGCAGGCGACTTCAGTGGCAATATCAATGAACAGAAGTCAACGAGAAAAAAAAAAAAAAAAACGACCAGTTTCAATGTGAAGTCCAACAACGTTTGTTGCCATCAAGAACAAGGCAACACTAATGGTAGAAAACAAATGAAGTGACAAGTGCAGATCAGAACTTATAACAATGATCTCTCTTCTCTCTTTCAGCACACAACTATACTTATAAATTGATTTGTTGTTTTTTTAAAAATGAAATATTGTTTTATCCTGCTTCATCCTTATCTGTTAGTAAAAGTCATTAAAAAGTTAAAATGCTTTTGGGAAACATCTTCAAACAGATTCGAGTCAAAGCAGAATTTAAGTGCTCTTATAAATTAATTACAGCAAAGAGGGAAGCAGCAAATGGCAAACAATAGCTAAGGCATCTATCCGGATTACAGTAACCCTGGGTTGCCATCCAATTTACAATAACAATATTTAAA